CAAGTCTAAACCACCACCCCCGCTCAAGCAGGAGTCCCTTACAGGATCATGGAATAACAGTTGCAAGGGAACTTGAAGGTCTTCTAGTCCAACCCTCTGCTCGAGCAGGAGACCCTTGACTGTTTCAGACAAGTGGCTGTCCAGTCTCTTCTTTAAAATCTCCAGTGTTGGAGCACCCACAACTTCTGGTGGCAAGCTGTTCTCTTGTGGAAAACGAAAGAACTCTTACGAATTCCAGAGGGGTTTAGCAGAGAGGTTTATTTGCGCAGGTTCAGAGGCATAGTGGGACATGCGATTCTGAACAAGGAGGGCGGGATTAGACTTCAGTTTTTATACTATCCTTTGAAGAACAAAGGACTACACATTGAAATACACACTGTGATACATTAGGATCGTTTCTCATGGGCATACAATGGAAGGTTTTGCTACATACAAAGTATCCATGTGCAATGCGCATTTGGTTAGCCACATATTACTGACACAGAACTTTCCCAGTGAATTTTCCCAGTGATTATGCATTACATCATTGTCCTAGCAATTATGCAGAGAAATCATTATTCTAGTTATGCAGACAAATCATTATTCTAGTTAGTCTTCATTTTACTACAGTTCCACTGGTTGTTCTCACTGTTAGGAAGTTTGAAGACCCCTGCTCTGTAGAGGTGCTTCTCCTCCAGGGCTGGCTGGGGAATGCTGGGAGTTGAAGTCCACAAGTCCCAAAGTTGCTGGGTTTGGACACCCCTGCTATAGAACAACGAAGAACCGAGAGAGGGATTTGCTCCCCTCTGCTGTGTGATTGTGAAGTCATTTATGGAAAACATTTTCTGCTTCTCTTATTGCGAAGGACCTAAATGGTTTCTCTTAGATTTCAGAAAGAAGCATTAAAATACAATCACAAATCTCTCTCTTCTCATTCTCTCCCTTTTTCTTTCTTCTCATTCTTTCTTTTTCTTTTTCCCTTATTCTCTCACCCTCTCTTCTCATTCCCTCATTCTTTTTCTCTTTCTCATTCTGTCATTCTTTCTGTCTCCCTCTAATTCTTTCTCATTGTCTCTCCTCATCCTTTCTCATTCTGTCCCTTTTCCCCTTTTTCTTTCATTTTTATACCCTTTCTCTTTTCTACTTGTGTCATTTTTTCATTCTCTCCCTTTTTCTTTCTCTCCCTCTAATTCTGTGTCATTCTTTCTCATTCTGTCTTCTAATTCTGTTCCTTTCTCTTCCTTTCTAGTCTAATTCTTTCTCGTTCTCTCCCTTTATCTTCATTCTTTCTCATTCTCTCTCTCACTGTATCATTCTTTCATATCCTTTCTCTCTCCCCTTCTAATTCTGTCTGTGTCATTCTTTCTTTCATTCTATTTCTCATTCTCTCCCTTTCTCTTCTCATTCTATCCCTTCTAATTCTGCCATTCTTTCTCTCATTCTAATTCTGTCATTTCCTTCTCTCATTCTGTCTCTCTTCCTCTCATTCTGTCTCCTCTAATTCTGTCATTCTCTTCTCATTCTGTGTCATTCTTTCGCTCATTTTCTTTCTCACTCTCTCTCCACGCACACACACACACATACATACACACCTGTTTTTCCTCAAAAAGACTATTTTAGGGAGGAAATCCTGAGGGAAATCCTGAGGTAAACGGACGGAGCACAAAAGGGCGGCCGGGAGAAGAAAAAAAAAAAAAGGCGGGAAAAGAAAGGGGGAAGCTCCCCCTCCCCCCCACACCCAGAGCGACCAATCCCAACGCAGATCGCCTCAGGCAGGAGCGCCGGCCCTCTCCAGCCAATCAGCTGCATGTGGGCGTGGCCTGGCTCACCCTGACGACCTTTCCCTGAAGCGGCTGCTGAACTGAAGGAACTTCACAGAGTTGGGGGGGGAGTTGGGGGGGGCTGGGGTGGTTGGGGCGCCCTCCTCCTCCCTGCAGTGGGTCCTCCCCCCCAACGGGACACGTGACTCCCCCCTCCCTCTTCTGGACCCTATTCTGCAACTGGGCCTTCTGCTGGGCAAGGCTGTGGGGCCTAGTGGTTGCCTGTGGGGTGATTGGGTGTTTTTGTGTGTTGTTTTTTTTAAAAAAAACTTTTATTCCTATTTTCAGGGTAAGCCTCTCGAAGCCATTCTGGAGTCGGAAGGAAGGAAGGAAGGAAAATAGAGCTGGAAGGGACCTTGGAGGTCTTCTAGTCCAGCTCCCAGCTCAAGCAGGAGAATACCAATTCAGACAGGTGGTTGTCTAGCCTCCTTAAAAACCTCCAGTGATGGAGCGCCCACGATTTCTGGTGGCAAGCAGTTCCACTGGTCGATTTTGCTGTCAGGAAATTTCTCCTTAATTCCAGGTTGCTTCTCTCTTTGGTCAGTTTCCATCCTTTGCTTCTTGTCCTGCCTTCAGGTGCTTTGGAGAATAACGTGAGCCCCTCTTCTTTGGGGCAGCCCCTCAGATACCGGCACGCTGCTATCATGTCTCCCCTATTTTTTCTTTTCTTTAGACTAGCTAGAGCAGTGGTTCTCAACCTGTGGGTCGGGACCCCATTTGGGGTCGATTGATCATTTCATGGGGGTCGCCAAGCAAGGCTGTCCACCATTTTTTTTGTCTGCCATTTTTTCCCCCTTTTCCAGCGGGTGCCTTACCTCCCTTGGGCTGGGCCAGCTGGTGGTCAGCCTGCTCCGTCTCTGCTGCTTGCCAGCTACGCCTCGGCCGGCACAGGGGGCGGAACCACGCATGCGCGGCGCTCCCGGGCAGGGAAAGTCCTCGACTTACGACCGGTTGGGTAGTCCTCGACTTACGACCGGTTTAGTCCTCGACTTACGACCGGTTGGGGTCGCGGCATTAAAAAGGTTGAGAACCACTGAGCTAGAGGGATAGACAGACAGATAGATAGATAGATAGGCAGATAGACCGACAGGCAGATAGGCAGAGAGCTAGGCAGATAGAGAGATAGGCAGATAGATAGGTAGATAGATAGATACATAGATAGATAGATAGGCAGATAGGCAGAGAGATAGGCAGATAGATTAGGTAGGTAGGTAGGTAGGTAGATAGATAGATAGATAGATAGATAGATAGATAGATAGATAGATAGATAGATAGATAGATAGATAGATAGATAGATAGATAGATAGATAGATAGATAGATAGATAGATAGGCAGAGACAGGCAGATAGGCAGAGATAGGTAGATAGATTAGATAGGTAGGCAGGTAGGTAGGTAGAGAGAGAGGGGGGGAGATAGGCAGAGATAGGCAGATAAATTAGGTAGGTAGGTAAGTAGATAGATAGATAGGCAGACAGATAGGCAGACAGACAGACAGACAATCAGACAGATAGGCAGATAGGCAGGCAGAGATAGGCAGATAGATTAGATAGAGATAGCTAGATAGGCAGATAGATAGACAGACAGATCGATAGATAGGCAGAGACAGGCAGATAGGCAGAGAGTTAGGTAGGTAGGTAGGTAGGTAGGTAGAGAGAGAGAGATAGACAGACAGACAGACAGACAGACAGGTAGATGGAGAGAGAGAGATAGGCAGAGACAGGCAGATAGGCAGAGAGATTAGGTAGGTAGGTAGGTAGGTAGGTAGGTAGATAGATAGATAGATAGATAGATAGATAGATAGATAGATAGATAGATAGATAGATAGATAGATAGATAGGCAGATAGGCAGAGAGATAGGCAGATAGATTAGATAGGTAGATGATAGATAGATAGATAGATAGATAGATAGATAGATAGATAGATAGATAGATAGATAGATAGATAGATAGATAGAGAGATAGAGAGATAGAGAGACAGGCAGATAGGCAGAGAGATAGGCAGATAGATTAGACAGGTAGGTAGGTAGGTAGATAGAGGGGGGAGATAGGCAGAGAGATAGGCAGATAAATTAGGTAGGTAGGTAGGTAGGTAGGTAGATAGATAGATAGATAGATAGATAGATAGATAGATAGATAGATAGATAGGCAGACAGACAGATAGGCAGACAGATAGGCAGACAGATAGGCAGACAGATAGGCAGACAGACAGACAGACAGGCAGGCAGATAGGCAGGCAGAGATAGGCAGATAGATTAGATAGAGATAGCTAGATAGGCAGATAGATAGACAGACAGATCGATTGATAGGCAGAGACAGGCAGATAGGTAGAGAGTTAGATAGGTAGGTAGGTAGGTAGGTAGGTAGATAGAGAGACAGACAGACAGACAGACAGGTAGATGGAGAGAGAGGTAGGTAGATAGATAGATAGGTAGATAGGTAGATAGATTAGATAGATAGATAGATAGAGAGATAGAGAGATAGAGAGATAGAGAGATAGGCAGAGAGATAGGCAGATAGATTCGGTAGGTAGGTAGGTAGGTAGATAGATAGTCAGAGACAGGCAGATAGGCAGACCGATAGGCAGATAGATTAGGTAGGTAGGTAGATAGATGGAGGGAGAGAGAGAGAGAGATAGGCAGATAGATTAGGTAGGTAGGTAGGTAGGTAGATAGATAAGCAGACAGGCAGATAGGCAGAGAGATAGGCAGAGAGATAGATTAGATAGGTAGGTAGGTAGGTAGATAGATAGGGAGAGAGAGACAGGCAGATAGGCAGAGAGATAGGCAGATAGATTCAGTAGGTAGGTAGGTAGGTAGGTAGATAGATAGATAGTCAGAGACAGGCAGATAGGCAGACCAATAGGCAGATAGATTAGGTAGGTAGGTAGGTAGATAGATAGATGGAGGGAGAGAGATAGGCAGATAGATTAGGTAGGTAGGTAGGTAGGTAGGTAGGTAGGTAGGTAGATAGATAGATAGATAGATAGATGGATAGATGGATAGATAGATGGGCGGGCGGGCGGGCAGGCAGGCACTCAACACAGAGAGAAACAGACAAACAATTTTGAAAACAAACTGTCTTCAGTCCAGCTGGACTAAATCAAAACCCAACAGAAACACAGCAGTAAGTCAGGAGCATAAAGATTCAGAGGGGACTAACCCCAGCTACAGAAGGAATGGTCGATTTGTTAAGACAACAAGAATGTTATTTCAGATCTCCGCAATCAAAGATGACGATCTTCTTGCTTGGTTTGCCATTCTTTGAGCCAAAACTCTCTATTTTCCTCACAATGTCCATTCCCTCTCTGACTTGGCCAAAGACCACGTGTTTCCCATCCAACCATTCAGTTTGCTCAGTGCAGATGAAGAAATGAGACTCATTTGTATTGGGACCAACATTCGCCATAGATAGAATGCCAGGGCCTGTGTGCTTGAGAATGAAGTTCTCATCGGCAAACTGCTCGCCGTAAATAGATTTACCGCCTGTTCCATTATGGTGGGTAAAGTCACCACCCTGACACATGAATCCAGGAATGATTTTGTGAAACCACGATCCCTTGTAACCGAAACCTTTCTCTCCAGTGCTCAACACACGGACATTTTCTGCTGTCTTTGGAACTGTGTCTGCAAACAGCTCAAAGGTGATGCGCCCGAGGGGCTGTCTGTCGGCGGCGACATCGAAAAACACGAGGGTTAGACATAGCTGGGGGAGGAAATGCACCGTGTGAGCAAAATGTAAAAGTTTAAAATAAAATAAAAAAGAGAGCGGCACCAGCCACACACAAGGACCAGCAACCACAGCTCCACACCAGAGAGCGCGGCGCAGCGGGCCAGAATGAGGGTATTTTCCTTTTGGTGGCTTATTTTAAGCAGAATTTCTAGCAGAATTTTAAAATTCTTTTCTTTGGATTAGAGACAGTTAACAGTCACATTTACTTTGGCACACAAAAACAAGAGAACAGAAAACATATACACACAAAAACAAGAGAACAGAAAAGAAAACAGAAGTCTTAGTTTTACGCATCCATACCACATGGTTGGAGAGAGAGAGAGAGAGAGAGAATATCACTATTTTTTTTTCCTTCAATATAAAATTTTTATTATTTTCATCATAGAAAAAAAACCATCACAAATATTACACAATACTGTATGAAAACCCACCCCCCACCCCCCCGGACTTCCCAAACCTAATCCCAGGATAATATTCAAATATAAGTAAACAAATATTAATATCTCTAACTCCACAAAGTATATTATTCTACATGAGTAGGTAAAATATAAAAGAACAAATTTACTAAAAACCTAAATTATATTCCACCACTCTATGCTTCTTTTAAATATAAACAATCCATCTTCTCCATATTAA